GAACTGCTCCCCTCCCCGTAACGTCAAAAAAAGACGCCATTTTTCGTATATTGTGTTTATTTCCCATTTCAAATGCTCGGGAAACTGCCAAAAATTAAACAAATGCCTTAAATTTTTTAAAAAAGACGACAGAATTGATTATGGAATGGAATAAGGATAATTTTCATCCTAATCTTATGTATTGAAAATTTTTATTACGAATAAATTTTTAGTTTTCTCTAATATAACCTTGCTATTTTTACCGTGGCCTGGGGCAATCCCTGTGCCATTCAAGCAGAATAAAATCTTTATTTTTGAATATATTTTAAAAAAACATTATGATTCACTTAAATATTTTGAATAAACATTTGCTGAAAATTTAGTTTTGGTGCGCCCATTACTTTCGAAAAAAACGCTTTGTCCACGATTTTATGGGACAACCCTCGTATACCCCCACTTTGGGAATATCAGGTTTTACAATAAATCTTCGGATTTTTTTAAGTTAAAATGTAAAAAGATAACAACTTGACATATCAAGATATATTTTTTTCTTTTTCTCAAGCTTCCTTCAATGGAGTAAAGCAATAAATAATTAATCACCGAAAAATACCTTTCTGCAAAACTAAAAAAACCCAAACCAGTTTTTTTTTAAATTTAAAAAAAAATAAGCTTTAAGATTCAAGAAATAAATAAATCAAAGTTGAAAAAACAACTTGTTCAATCCCAGACAAGTTAAAATTTGAAAATCTAGTTAATATCTAAATAAAGAAATTAAAGAAGTAAGTCAAGGATAAGATAATATAGAGTCCTGTCACTTCATACGTAAAATACATAATTAAATAATTAAATTCCAATTCTAAATGTCACTTGTCATTGGACTTTTGTTTTAATAGGTTTTGATTCAAGACATGATTTAAATGCCCTAAATTGATTGAAGTTATGTGCTTTAATCAGTCATCCATATAGCACATAGTAGGTTGAATGGTGCAATTTGATAATTAAATATGCATGCTTACACCAAATTGATAAAGATGAAATGCATGCATCTCATTTTATTTAATAAGTTCATTTTTTTTCGTTGTCATACTGAAAATTAAATGGAACCCCCCTTCTCTCTAGTTTTTTTTTTCTTTCTCTCTCTCTCTCTCTCTCTCTTTGTTTTTGTTTTTTTTTTTTTTGGTACACGAACTTTCATTACATTTTCGAAATATGCAAGAAAGTATGGAGTTTAACATGTTATAAGATATACATTGTACCAGGGTTCCTACAAAAAAAATGCCTGACACAAGTGATAATATTAGTTCATAAAATACAAATTTTGAACATTTATTCCCAAACCCAACGTTTAAATTAAAAAAAACAATTCTAAACCGTTTTAAACTGGCAGGTCCTCAACAAGTAGTACTAGTGATTAAAGAAAATTATATCTACAGATATTAGAAGGTTTACCTTAAATCTTATACAATTTCTGTAGAACGGCCTTTCTTTGTCCACACTTTTTAAAAACTAAACGTATGTCACACATACAAAATAGTTCCTCGGTTACTTAAATAAGCAGCATGTTGTTGCAAAGGACAGGTAGATCAATGAAAATGACAATTTTTTACTCTAAAAATATACTTTGTACCAAATAAAATGATCGAAGTGTATGTTATAAAGAAGTGTACAAATTGTTTTTTTTTTCCAAAGGAAAATTTTGGGGAGCATTAGATTGAAGCCTTTATAATATTGGAACCATGCTTGATTTTTTTTTATCATTTCTGATAGCAGCGTTCCAAAAGATAAATAAATAATTTCGCCAGGAAATATATAAAAGCTTTTGGGAGCAAATAAAAATTTCGAAAGTATCAAAAAATTAGGCTTTATAACTAACTCCCTATGATATCTTAAATAAAGTAAAAATACAAAACTGTAATATCCACACGACTTATTTTACGTCGGAAGTGCTATAAACAATCAACAAAATATGAAACAAAATAAAGTTAAGTAGGCTAATGAGGGATCAAAAAATTAGTTTAGCGTTCAGTAACAAGACATAAAGAATACATGTATGTACACCATTTTAAATGTCTATACTTGTTTGTGCCAATTACATAAAATTTGCCACTATCACTATGTATAGAGTAAACAAAACTACACATATATTTTTTTTGCCGACAAAGTCCATGTATCACCATTACGTTTTAAAAATGATGACTTTAAAACAAGCTTGTTGATTTTTGATTATAAATTTGTTTGTCAGAATGTATCTCGTTTTAAAAATTGTTCAAAATACTACCTAAGCCTAAGCTCATTTAGGCATCAAAATTTTTTTTAGTCTATATAGAGATAGCGTCAACCTTACGAAATGAGGAATGTTGATATTTTTTTTTTATCAACTTGTTTGTCATTGATTTACCTCATGCTCTTATTATGCTCGTATAATCAAATTAGATATACAAGTAGAGCTTTTCTAAAAAGCTTACCGTTTTTTACAACAATTTTAAAACAGTAAACGACTACCCCTATCAGGCCGTATAATTCTTTTCAATTTTGTATTCCACTTTGTTTTTTACTGGCATTACCCCTACCACGGTTGTCGCTCGGTCATCTCCGTAAATTTTGACTGACCGAGACTTTCGGCAAACCTCGGCTATTCCATTCCCTTTTTCAAACAAGAAAGGGGAAAAGAATAATAACAAATTGTAAAGCCTGCAAGCTATAAAAATCAAATTTTATTTATAATGAAATTAAAGAACATATTCATTTATTGTAAAAAAAATACCATGTTTTTAAAAATTAATTACTGCTGATTTTGCTGTTCGTTTTGTTTTTTTTAAGATTGGAAATCTTGCAAAATTGTTAAGTGAAAGAAAATTAGATCATCAGAAAGTTATCCCCCTTGCCTTGAACAGCATTTCAACCAATGAAATAATTGAAAATTTTTATCATGCAATTTCTACCAATCACAAAAGAGAGGACTATATGCAGGTGATAAAAGGTATATTGCTGCATAAGTAAGGCAAGTTGGTGATTGAATAGTTAAAAGTCATCACGTTTAACATAAAGCGTTGTTGTTTGAATAGATTTTCATTAACAAGCCATTGACAAACATGTAGACGAACAAAGATATCAACAATTTCGTTTAAAATAAAGTTTTGGTAAGTCAATTACCTTGTCAGCAAGAATAAATATCATTAAGGACAGACGAGACGTTCCTCAATAATAGATAACTTTTTCCAAGATTTTGTCCTTGAAGAATTACTACTTTAACATGTTTACTCACAAAAAATTGAGGTACCTTACCAGGCATTTGAACGAGATACCAAAGGATGGCATTTCTTATATAATCCTTTAGGGAAAAAAAACTTAGTTTGCAAAAAACATATTTTTAGTGTTTCTACTTTTTAAAAACTAAATGTTTTTAAAAAGAAACCAGTTTAGAAATCAGAAAGTAATTAAAATATATTTTTCCTACATTATGAAGATGTACAAAACAGATATTTGGGGAACGTCTCGTCTGTCCTTAAGTCAAATGCTGATTTATGTTCAAAAACTAAAATATTTGTCAAACTAATTATTAGACCATTTTTACGTATTTTTCCGTCCCTGAAAAGGAGCTCATTGCGTTTGTGATCGTCGACAGGGGAGGTTTACATCTCAATGACATCTGATCCTACCTCTGATGATTTAGAGGTGCTTTTTTTTTTAAATTTGCTTGTTTTAACAGATTTTCTAAGCCTTTATGAGCATGTCAAATCTTTAATTAAATCGAACTATTGATATTCTTGTTTCATCAGCATGTTTGTCAATAGTTTGCCTCAATGTAGAAATTATTCGTATGAAGAGCATGATTTCTCATACTAGTATCCAATCAACTGGACGACATAAACTACATATTTAATAGCTGCAGAACTGTAGCGTTATTGTTTTCTATATTTGTCTTTGACCATAACGCTACAGATCCGTAATTACGGCGCAGGATTTTTTTGCGCACTGTTTGGGAGAATTTCTCCCCTTTCCAACTTTGGTAAATTATCAACATTCAAACCCTAATTCCAGACACATTCTTAAACCAATTTGTATATTTCATCCTCCTCTAAACCCTTTATAGTCGTCTCTACAGGCTATAAACTGGCTTGATTTGAATTCTCTGGGGGATTGCAGAAAATTCTAATTCAAGCGAGTTTATCGCTTGTAGTGACGACTATAAAGGGCTGGGAGGTGTATAAAATATACAGATTTATCTAAAACTGTGTCTAGCATTATGGAGGGAAAGGTAGATGAGTTACCAAAGTTGGAAAGGAGAGAAATTCTCCTAAACAAAAAATGCGCAAAAAATCTTGCGCCGTAAATTGCACATTTTTTGCATTACGGGATCTGTAGCGTTATAGTCATAGACAAATATATAAAACCATAACGCTATACTTCTGCAGCTAAATATTTATCCTGCAACTACCCCTTGCATTGACCTAATAAAGGTAACCTAATAAACCAAAGCTTTATCCGGTCACTGCCCTAATAAAGCCTCGTGCATGTATTCCGACGTTCCAAAAGCATTGTGACGTCACGTATACTGCAATGTTTACGCCATGGCGTCATAGTTTCAACTGCAGAGATGTGCCTAAATCTGTCGGAATTAGCTTGTTTTGGACGCTCAAATGTAAAATTTTGTTGCAGGATAAACAAAATACATGATGACTGTCTTGAAATGTAAGCGATATTTGGGCTCGGGTCGAAAACGTAAGAGGGCTCGGCAAGCCTCGCCCTCTATCACGTTTTCTTACCCAGATATCGCTTATATTTCAAGACAGTAACCATGTATTTCATATATATGCAGGTGATCAGGATATCTGTCTAAAAAATAAAATAAGGGAAATTATTGGAAATTAAAGTTGACGTCATCACGTTTATCATAATTAAATAGTTTTGTTGCAATTTTACCATTAACGTCTTTTTCTGGTAAAATATCCAGATATGAAACAGATATGTCTGACTACGTGTTATCTTCTGAGTTCATTGGGATATATTGAATCTACATGTAAATGAAAGTATCCTTTAATATTGATAATATGCCGGAGATAACATACGATTTTATCATATTTCAGGATTTTATATTGCTTCATTTACTCCAAAACAACAAAAATCTATTGCTACATTTTAGTGTTACTGTTATTTTTCCTTTAAACATTTTACATGTTCAAGAATATTTTACTTTTGTAACCAACTGTTAATTAATGAACAAAAACATAAATTCTACATATATTCATGTTGTTTTAACAAAATGAATTATTTGAGTTAAGCCTCAACCTTCAGATACTAATAATTAAACTTTAATGGTTTTATCCTTTTACTTGAATAATTTCAAAACCCATGCACCAAACAGAATAATCGCCCCAATTGATGCTGCAATTGAGAATAAACTTTGCGTTGTTTCAGGGTCCTCGTTCTCCAAGTCTTTTCTTATCGTTTTACGAAGGTATGCCTCTGTGACGTCTTTGTCATTACATTTTGTTTTGCGTTTTTGTATCATCCTGCTCATAACCTTCTCTCCCTCCTTGTATAAAATTTTATCCTCAAAGAACGAACCTCTGTTTGCGGCGACATTTTTATCTATCATATCTAGCAAACATCTAACTTGTTGATTTCCCTCTTGTAAAGTTGCCGTGTTGTTGAAAAATATGCACCTGTATCCGCAACGCTTTAAGATTTCCTTAAGATTTTTTGGAACTTCGCTCAGGTATTCTTCTTCACTTGTTTCATTCCTGCTAAGCTCATCTTTCCCAGTAAAAAGAACTATGAAATACCTGTAAATTTTTTCTCCAAAGCGGCTAACAAACTTTTCTACGGTTTCGTGTTCTTCTATTGTGAATCTGCTTCGAACATTTATCACAAGAATAATCGCATGGGGACCGGGGGCAGAAATCAAAATACACTTGCTCAGTTCTTTCATAAAGCTTTTATCACCATGCAGAGTATGTACGTCAGTATCAAAAGCCCCAGGTGTGTCCACAACAAGGACATCTCTACCGAATCTGTTCGCAGTATGAGATTGGCACTTTTTTGTTACAGAGCTGCCTCCAAGACCCGTTCTAAATACTTTTTCATTTACAATTGTATTCCCAGTGGCACTCTTTCCACTACCAGTTTTACCGAGAAGAACAAGTCGAATCTCTGGTTGATCCATTTCTGAAGAAAGAAAATGATATACTGTAATTTTGATAAAATTTTATTATTATTATAGTATTACGTTTTTTGATTTAATTTGTTTTTTTACTTTATCCGAGTAAATAAAAATGTAGCACTTACCATAGCATGACACTTTCTGTTAAAAAAAAAAATGTTTTAGAAAACTTACTCTAAATTGTTAAAGTTATTCATGTTATTATCAGTAACTTTTCACAAAGTTAACGAAATCCAAACATCCAAACAGAGAGCGAGCTGCTAATTACTAGTAAATACGTTCAAAGGCTTTGCATTATTTATATCCCGGCTTACGGGATGGTATATAGTGATCGGGATGTCTGTTCGTCCGTCTGTACGGCGTCTGTATGTGCGCTTAAACTCCTCCTATTAGTCATATACCACTAAAAAATAAATGATTTTTTTTTTCAAACGGAGGGTATAAATATTTTTATCATGTATGTAAATGGACTGTTTATTTTTTATACGTATAAATGTTTATTTATTAATATTGTACTGTATAACATAGTGTACATCATGTAACTTTAGTCACCTACATGAATATAACAAGCCTCGACGTTTACTCTTTCAGATACTGATAATTTCTTTGGAAGCATGATTTTATCCTTTTATTGAACTACTTACCAGTTTCAACATCGATGCATCAAGAGGAGAAATGGCTCCAACTGCTGCTGCAAATTTTAATAAAGTTTCCACTGTTTCAGAATCCTCCTTCTCCACATCTTTTCTTATCGTTTTACGAAGGTATGCTTCTGTGGCGTCCTTGTAGTAATATGTTGTCTTGCGTTTTTGTATCATCCTTTTTATAACCTTCTCTCCCATCATGTAATTTTCATCCTGAAAGAATGTACCTCTGTTTGCTAAGACATTTTCATCTATCATATCTAGCAAACATCTAACTTGTTGATTTTTCTGTTGTACAGTTGCTTTGTTGTTGAAAAATATGCATCTGTTTCTGCAACGGTTTAAGATTTTCTGAACGTTTCCTGGAACTTCTCTCAGATATTCTTCTTCACTTTTTTCATCGTCGATAAGATCATCTTTCCCAGTGAAAAGAACGATGAAATACCTGTAAATATTTTCTCCAAATCGGTTGACAAACTTTTCAACGTTTTCGTTTTCTTCGCCTGTGATTCTGTTTCGAACATTAATTACAAGAATGATCGCATGGGGACCAGGGGCAGAAAGCAAGATGCACTTGTTCAATTCCGTCATAATGCTATCATTCGGCGTATCGGTATCAAATACGCCAGGTGTGTCCACAACAAGGACCTCTCTACCGAATCTGTTGGCAGTATGAGACTGGCATTTTTTGGTTACTGAGCTGCCTCCAAAACCCGTCTTAAATGCTTTTTCATTTACAATTGTATTCCCAGTGGCACTCTTTCCACTACCAGTTTTACCGAGAAGAACAAGTCGAATTTCTGGTCGATCCATTTCTTTAAAAAAAAAAATGTAAATATTAATATACAGTACTGTGATTGAGATAAAATTTTATTTACCTTAACTTCTTCTTTGATTTCAGTTTTGTTTTTGTTTTTTTATTTTCTCAAAGTTAATTTTAAAAATTATATTTCCATAGCATGCAATTTTCTATTTTTAAAAAAATGACTTGTTACTCTCAAATTAATCTTAACCTAATTAAAATAAATCAATATTCTTTATAGAATTAAAAAAAAACATGAATGAAATATACTAGTATACGAGAGAGAGAGAGAGAGAGAGAGAGAGAGAGAGAGCAGGCAAATATGAAATAATGATTTACGCTACTTGACAAACTTAAAAACTATATATATCATAGATATTATACTTTCATGTGAATTAGTTGAATCTGATTCGTCGAGAAACATTACCCTTTGAATGATGAACCCACGCCCTCCAGCGTTGTGCTCAACATTACTTGACAACGGTTAATATTAACGGGCGCTGCCGGCGCTCTGTTAATGTTTTTAAGGTTTTTATGATATTGGAAAATGATTTTTTTGATATCTGAAATTCAATTTTTTTTTTACATCAAAAATATATTTTTGGTATCAGAAAATAAACGAGACTTTTAATCAAAAATACAAATTTCTGATATCAGAAAATCCTTTTTCAATATCAAAAAATTCAAGTTCTGATAATAATTTTAAAAAAAAATCATTTTTTGATATAAAAAATTCAGCTGGATTTTTTGATATTACAAAATCATTTTTTAATATTAGAAATTCAACAATGAAATGTATAATTTTTTTTACACATCGTCTTGGCCGATGCAGATAATAAATTCTCCCCGGCCAAGATTGTTTCATATAAGGTCTTCCGATGTATTTGGATTATGTACTACTTTCTAATGAATTTGTAGAATGAGAGTTACAAGTATTGGTTTTATTTAAAAAAATAATAAAAACAATATACTCACTGAGAGCATTGAGTATTTCAATTAAAATTAATTACTAGATATAATTTATTGGATTTTCTTAGGAATCCTTTCCTTATTATATTAACAACTGAGGGAGGCTACAAGACTTATTTGGAATATCGATAGTTTTGTAACTTATCAGCATTGTAACTGCATTTATTAATTTCTGTATATTCATTCATATTTCTGAATTATCTATACAATATGCTAAAACACACAAATATTTCGGTTAGACTGAAACAATCATGTAGTTGAAGTAAACTAATCACTAAGCAGCAGCGGAATTGCTGTTCAGTATGAAAAATAATGGGGCATTTTATTAAAGAAAAATCTAAATATGTCATTCATATTCGATTTTTGGATATCAAAAATTCGAACGCATTTTTTGATATCGGAACATGATTTTCTGATTTCAAAAACTCAATTTTTTGATATCAGGAAATTATTTTTTGATAGCAAGAATTCAATTTTCTGATATCAGAAAATCAATATTAATTTCTGATATCATAAAATGGATTTCCTGATAGAAATCATTTCTTGACCATAACTTTTAGTGGGTGGGGTCGTGGCTTTCATGTTTCACATACATGTCTATGCATTTCTTGTCACAATACCTTTCTTTGGGTGCCACCAAATTTGACCTCTTGACCTTGACATTGAAGTGTGACCTTCTTTAAAAAACATACTTTAACCTTGGACAGAAAATTTTCGACAATTGAAGCAATGGTTTTCATACTTCACTTGTGTATTCATTGTGACAAGACCTTTCAGTGGGTAAATATTTTTGACCTTGACCTTAAAGTTTACCCCTCCTTTTAAAAACTTAAACCTTGGCCACAATTTATGAACACTTAGTATTAAATACAGTTTCCATATTTGACAAGTGTATTCCGTGTAACAAGACCTTCATTATGGTCCAAACAATTTTGACCTTTGGAGTATTACTTTATTTAAGCCTAGATCTACATGTATTTGACAAATTCGCTAAAAAACTGTCATTCGGAAGCATCAGTGTTTCACAAACTCATCTTATTTTACCATAATAAATTCAATGATTTTATTTTAAAGTTGAGGGGAGTGTGCTATCGATCCACTTTTCAGGCACCTGTCGTCGGGTGCTCTGCAAACTGAGCTACCAGGCCGACATCCACGGCTCCTTTCTTGTAATGCCAGGGGTCCTGAATCGTTTACCAACAGCTCGAGTCAGTAAGGACAAAAGCTGCCCATGCTGATGTCATCATGACATATTGGAAATAACTCGAAACAAATTCTAAAACACTTAGTCAACTTCATAAAATGTGTAAGTCGTGAAATACTCACCAAAAAATCCAAATACAGTAGGACAGGTTTAGCCTATATGGTCTGTAAAGCTTCTTCTACAAATTGATGACGTAATGCATAACATTACGTCACACAAAAAATATACCAAGACATCAGCAATGCAACGTTTCATTTACAGTGGTTCATTCTACTTCATTGCAAAGGAGATGTAGACAAATGATAATGGCATGTGTTATTACCATAGATGTGAAAATATCGCAGTCAGGTTAACGTCATAATGAAAAAATGTAAACGTTGCGATTGCAGGTACTTTGGTTTACCGAAAATCAGAGACGCTTGACGTTTTAAAAATCTTTATCTTCACATATAAAAATACTTATGCTTTAGTACTGGGATATTTTTTCAATAAAGAGAAAGGCTTGAAACGTAAAGCGCCTGTGATTTCAACATGATAATATGTGAAAAGCACGGGCACTTGTTTCTGTTATGTTTTGAAAATATCTTTAAATCATTACAGAAACAATTGCTTGTGGTGAAAAAGGTGAGAAAAAATGCAGCATTTACGAGCACGGATATGTTAAAACCCGATATGCGGAGATCTTGAAAGAATATGGTACAAAAATAGATTAATATCCTTTGCCAAGAAGACTGAGCACAGCCACTTGTTTTGGAAATTTTTTTGTAGCCCATAACACTTGCTAACAAATGCTATTTTTTTACTATGGGTTAAAAAAATTATTTCTGAAACAAGTGCTTCTATCATAATCATGATTTGATAATATGGGTTAAAAATTTCCCAATCTAATTAAAACAGATCTCGTATTTTGCTATGCGGCGACACAGGAGCGTAAATGATATAATTTTAATTAGATTGTTGAACATTTCCGAACTGAGCTTGCCTGTGGGACTGCGTCAAAAAGCCTGAGTCGTTATGTATTTTTTGTTCCCCGCTTTCGCGAAATCGAGGGGACATTATAGCAGATTTCAAAACCCCTAAAGGATTACATTGTTTGTGACGAGCTGACGCTTTGCTTGTCGAGAACTTTAAATTCTACGTCACATTCTCGCCGTTTACAAAACACGGACAGGTCACGGAATCACGGATGCACGGAAATATAGAAAATAGTACAAATCACGGATTGTTTTTTGTACGGATGATAAATCTGTCCGTGCATTCCGTACATTAAAAAAATCCGTGAGATCTATAAATAAAAATAAAACAAGTGAATTAATATTCACGGAATTTATTTATCGGGAGAAAATGTTACAATATTTAATAACAAAGATTTATATGATAAACTTATGAACTCTTACAATCCATACATTTGATGGTTTTAGACTTTCTAATTTGTTTTTCACTAAGTGTTGTATTTTGACATCGTGGATGAAACCACTGGCGACACTTAGTGCAATTAAACATGAATCCATGTTCAGGCATTCTGCACGTGCAGAACAACTTCATATCAAATGTAAACTCTATTGACTGTTGGCGTTTACACGGAGATGACGGAAATTTACGGAAAATTCCGTCAGTGATACATTTCACTACAATAGACTTGTAGTTACGGACGGAATCTGAGTATTGTTTATATTCATCAAGAGAAATCTGTAAATGTTGGTATTCTGATTTAAGAGTAAAATTCCCTACACCAGCTTTGCCTCGTCTCACTTTACCAAGATAATATTGTTGTAAGAATCGAAAAGATAATACAACAGCATCTATTGGCCCTTCCTTCCAGTTGTTGAGATCTTTCATTAGCCAGTTAAAACCCTCACTTTGATTAGATGTTACACCATTTTCGGGATGCATTTTAACAAATTTTTCTACATAGGCTCGAGCAAAAGCAAAATGCTGTATTTTGGAGTGAACATGAGACTGGAAATATTCAACAAATCTTTGACTCCAGTTGCCTTTTCTTGATTCAATCTCGTGGTCAATGGCTTTTTTGTTGGGCATTCTAAGAATATTATATATTTCTTCAACATAAAAACTTGCATCTGATTTATTTCCACCAGATGAGAAAGTGTATCTTTCTATATCTTTCCTGAGATGACGCCAACACCCAACAATCTTCAGGTTTGTCTCTGCCTCAATGGCATTCAATATACCCCGTTCCATATCAATTGCTATCGGGATATTAGCCAGGTTAGTCTTGCAATATTTTCTTAGGATGTCGAAGACAAGCTCATGGTGAGACTGAAATTTACGTTCATGAACCATGAAGAGGGCAGGCAAAACGGGTTTTTCTTCAAAAGCTTGGTGTTTAAACAAAACAGCTGAAACATAAAAATCACCCATAGAGAAGGTAGTGTCATAGCTCAGGAGTTGTTCATTTTTACTGTTCATTTGGAGACTGTCATTCAGTTCTTTTAGCATTTCCTCCATTCCAATAATAGCAATTAAATCTGGAAATGTGGCAATGAAATGAACAAACCCCTTATCTTCATATGCAATAGCTTGTAAATTTATTATCTTTTGTTGGCCTTTCATCCGATTTGAGGCATCTTTTGTTGGCCTTTCATCCGATTTGACTTTTTCTTTTATGTAGTGAATTTGCCGAACATTTCTTGGCATGTCCGTGATTTCCGCTTTCTCATCCGTGACAACTGATTCTTTATAAATTTTGTGAGCGCTTTTGTCACTGGTCTTTACATTTTCTTGAATTTTTTTGATCACGGAGGGTTTAATTCTCACGGAAATTTTTGTTTGTTTTGTACTATTTCCGTGCGCCTTTGGTTTTGAGAAAGATGCATCTCCAAGATAGTGTATCACGGCAATGTTTTTAAAGTTCGACGATAAAGGAACATACACTTCTTTCCTAAACCTTTTGTCTGTTATTCGTTTTCTCCCCTCCGTAGCAATATGCAAATAGTAATAATACTTTTTTAATTCTCCAGAGTTCCCTTTCACTTTCCGGGTTCCTTCACATGAAAAGCTACGTATAAGAAAAGAAAGAAAGAAGATAAGAGATAGAAAGAAGAGAAAAAAATAAGAAATATAAGAACAGTTGTTTTACAGCTATATATTTATTAATTATAAAGATAATATAAGAACAGTTGTTTTACAGAATTATGTTCTTTATATATATATTTATTAATTATAAATCTTTGAAATATACCTATGTCCATCTGCAACCCAATCTCTGTAAAATCTCCATTTCATTTGTACATAAAACTTTATCCGTGATTTCTCCGTATGAATTCCGTGCAATTCCGTGACTTATCCGTGTTTTGTCAACCTCCTCAATTCTCGCCACATCAAAGAAGTAGACGAAACTTTTAAAGTCGAAACGGCATTTGTGAATTATGTTCTTTATATAATATTAAATGTTCAACATCTCTAACACTTAGGCTAAAAAGCCTAATCGAAATTATATTAACTTCTGTAGCATTTTTCATCCATCTAATAAATCCTAATGGCCTCTATTTTACGTCAGCATACCATTGTTATATACAGTAAAGCTATACGGATTTAAAATGATGTAAAATATGATAATAATTACCGAATAGCAGAAAAAATATTATCCTGGTAATTTAAATTTTCCGTATTCCGTACATAAAACTTTATGTGAAGATTTTTTGTAAACTTATATTCCGTTTATTCCATGAAGTGCAAAATTAATTAAACTACACTTTATACGTACATGTTTTGTCATGTTAGCTGCAGATTGTCGCCACATCAAAGGAAGTAGCCGAGATAGCGTGCCCCCACGAAAAAAGTATATTCAGCTGCAAAAACATCGCTGACGTTTCCAAAACGGGTTTACAAAAGGGGAAAGAAAACACAAATCTTATTAAACAGTTTAAAAAAGAGCAATATTTATATTATATGCATTTTTAATCCATAATAAATTAATGGCCGTGAAAATTTAATTTTAAGCATTTACCATTTGTGTATATGGCACGGTATACATGGATATAAATTTTGAGATTACAGTTTGAAAAACATGATCAATAAATTGCTGGATTTTAAGTACTTTTTTGGCCTATCATTCTTGGATTGTGTAGTTTTTCAAACTGTTCTCCGGTTATCAATATACTGTTGATGTGAAATGATTTTTCTGTGTAAAACAAAATATTCCGTATAATTTACTTGTATAAACCATGAATAAAAGAACATTTCTGTCAAAGAAGTAATTAAACTACATTATATCAAAATACGTACATAGATTTTTTTTTTTAAATGTTAATGCTCTCTCTCTCTCTCCAGAAAAAAATATATTGAGTGAGCTGCAAATATGAAAAAACTGTATATATTGATGCACAAAAATATGATCAGGTATTTTCATTAATTTTGCAAATTTTACCTTAATTGCAAATAAGGAAAGATTAAATCAAAAAAATTGCTCATATACTATCAATACATCTGTAGTTGAAATCCGAACGAAGCATATTGGACCGAAATCTCAAAAGCAAATGGCAGTATAAATAAGAAATGTTGTAAGAAGATTACAATATCAGGGTCAGGAGGACTATTACACAACAATTATGAGGAATGTTTGGTTGTGGAAAAGGCAATTTCAGAGTATGTTAGGAACACATGGTTAGTAATATTTTAAGATTACAGTTTGAAAAACATTGGAGAAATAAATCAGAACCAGCGCACTTTTTTTAAAATATACAGTTTTTTCACCAAGGGTAACTACCTTGTAGTGAGGCAAATCTATCACCAATATTTTCTAAAAAGTTTTGAATTATGGAGTCTTCGTGCTAAATTAATATTTTCAACTTTTGTTTCAATGTGTACCCCCAAACAACCGTATTATATTTAGTATAAAATATGTACTTGTAATTTAAGTATCCATAACATAAGAAGAACATTTCTGTCAAGAGAAGTATGCCTATTCACAATTGTAAATTTATATCAAAACACTAAATTAGAACAGTGCAGAGTTTTGTTTTAAAAAATACACACGTATAATAGCTCTCTCTCAGGCGCCAGGAAACGTTTAAAAGTGGCTGCATATATTATTTCACTCTGTTGCATCAGTGATGTTTAAAATATTTGATCAGGTATTTTCATTAATTTTGCACTCTGATTTTTTAATTATCGGTACATCACTAAAATCCATTCTGATTGCTATTAACATATACGACATACATGCGCTGAAAAAAGAATTCGGGCAGAATTATCGCATCAGTGTAGAGAAAAGTAAAAAGCACTATTTTCAATTTCCTTTATAAAACTGAGATTTCTGTAAGAACATAAATATAATTTTTACCCATAACAAACGTTGGAACCGTCACTATATACGCACAAGTTTTTGCAAACAGCAACATATCCTCCATATGGGGGGGGGAGGGTTCAATTTTGAAAAAACAGGTGCAATTTCAGCAACTGTGGGACAACTTTATCGAATGCTAAGACAACTTTTAATGATATGCGATCAATGAATATTTATATTGTACTAACGCAGTGGAACTACAGAAATCAGCTCAGTATTGAAAGTTTAAATATGCTTGTTAAGCAGGTCCCAATATTATATATACCAAGGCCGTAACTACCTTGAAGCAAGTGAGGCAAATGCTTCACCAAATTTTTAGAGTTTTCTAAAAAGTGAAAACTTATGAATTATGCGTGTCTTCGTGCTAAATTAATATTTTCAACTTTTGTTTCAATTTCTGTGAATCAGAAAAGACATGTGTAATAAGATTTTGGCTTTCTCACCAGGTGCCTCATTTTCATTTAGATGACTTGTAAATTATAATTCGTTCTTAAAAATAAATGTTTGTAAAATTTGTAAATATTGTTTGATTGTTTAACATCCCTTCTAAGAATTCACCATTCATATTGAGACTTGGGTTGATCAATACTTAAATCCGGTGGATGGGCTGCAAGTTTTAAATTTGTACAAATATGAAAAAAAAAAAATTTTCAGAAAATGATTGAACAGTGAGAGATCTGTTAAAATTGTGTCATCGTTTAAAAAAATTTTGACTTTGCAGGTACATTCAAGAAAAGTCAGGCGCGTAGCATCGTTTTTGAACCCCGAAAAAAGTGTATGGGGGGGGGGCAGCGTGGGAGAGAATTTTTTTTTTTACTTACCTGTAAAAAGTTTGACAACAAGCAACTCGTCACAAACAAGGGGGTTTTGAAATTTGCCCAAATCCAATATTCGTCTGTGGGTCAGTGTGTGATATATAAACTTTGAACCTTGGTACATAACTTTTTTAAGTGTCTATACTTTCAGTATTTCACATGTGTATTCTTGTAATACTCAAACATTTTGGTTTTATATATTTGTCTTTTACCATAAAAGTGGGGCAATATTTTTGGGGGGAGAACCAGGCTTTCTATTAACACATCTTTCACAGTATAAATTCTAAGCACATAGGGAAAAATGTTACAAATCCGTATATTTTATCACATCTTCCAACCCTCTATAGTGACATAGAGAACTTGATTAAAAATTATTTGTTACTTGCTGAAAATTTATTCAATTTCTTCTTTAATTCCAATTAAACAGATATGAACTGTAACTAATTAGGGAGTGAAACAGCTTTGATAGAGCAATCATGAAAAAAAAAAAAATTTTCTAAATAAAATAATTTTTTTACTTATATTTAAAAACATTTTTAAAACAATGTAGAAATCACTGTGTAAGAGAAGGACAAATATGAATTATTTTATATAATGCCACAAAACGTGTAGGGAACATGTATATGACCTTAAGATGTTTGCAAAACTTCCTGCTTTTCAGAAAAAGGGATAATTCTTTGCTTTCATGATAAATCTTGTTCAGTATCCTTTACTTTCAAATTGTCCAGAAAATCTAAAAAAATGTACTTATATTTAAAAACATTTTTAAAACAATGGTATATTATTTTATTATAATGCCAAGAAATGACAAAAAAAATCAAATCGCTATGCGCAGGATTTCATCCTCTTTCTTTCAAATTTATAATCCAATGGTATAAAAATGACATTTATAGCGTATAAAAATGTCATCAACAACACCAAACGACATATATTTTTGCAAACTAGATAATGGTAGCGACTGTTGAATACCGGTATGCGAAAAGTTGATTTTGAACGAGATTTTTTGTACCCTTGCGACATCAATTTATTTGCCTGTATTCTCATAGAAACGAACATGTTCTTGCGAATCAAATCAACTGTGAAACATATAAATGCTTTATATGCAAGTGATAAAGTTAAAAATCTACATGAATAAGGGAAGAAGCCAGTAGAAAAATGAAATTACTCTGTCCTATTATGTTACGAATGTACAGAAATGACAAACACTTTTCTGTACTTAGAAAATCTTGTATCCCAACATACTTTCCCTATTTAAAACCTATATACGTGTATGTCAGTCACTGTCATGACTGTGGCTTTGTGGCAACACCTTTTTTTTTTTTAAAAATGTACGAATTTGATCAATCCACTTTGAAAAAGAAAATTCAAAGTGTGTCAAATTTAGGACAAAATCAACGTTTTTTAAAGTGATTAAGACTTAAAAGAGTGTACTTGATCTATGACATCAACATTATTTTTCACTGGAGGCACTTTTAAAACTTTTCTCTTTGACAAAAAATTGCGCAAAACTGATAGTATCAGGGACCTATATACTAACTACTAGCATAAAGGTCCCTGATATTATTGATTTCTTTTATTCGCCGAGAAAAGGGAGAAGACATGTAGAAATTTAAGCCCCTCAGCTCATTTCTTTATTTTCTCTACCCAGTGAAAACTAAAAACAAAATACATTAATTAATAATTTATCAAGAGGGATACTCGTCCTTGTGTGTGGAAGGTGGCACTCTTACCATCAGTTAAGTCAGAGAATAACAAACTCGGAATGGGAACATCTATATTATTTACATCGGAATCGAGAGACAATAAATTTTACATTGCATTTTATTACATCGGAGTCGAAGTACGACAAATTTCAAACAGCAACAGAAGGGATCACTCCGATCAGAAGAAAAAAATCAGTGCAATGTTAAAACCAAGAAGACCATTTTTTCGAACAAAAAGACGAGTAATTATTGCTTTCCTCGCTTGGAATTTTATTGGAGCATTTTATGTGTGGTTGCCCCATGTTTGGAAAATCCAAGCAGAGGATGCGGCTGGCCAAAAACAAAACAGCACACCAGCAAGTCGGTGAACATATAACTCTGTTACAAACGTGATTCGAGACAGTGCTTATACGTGTTTTTGACTCAAAAATACATGTTCGATAAACTGTGTGATAAATCACCCTTCCGCTTGCTCCATCGATCCTATACTTAAAAAAAAAAGATAGTCGATGGATGAATGACCTTGACGTCACCAATGTTTGTATAACAGAGCAGATTTGTGATGTAACATCTACATTTGACACTAGAACTTGAATCCATTTCATCAATTTGATTTGCATTAGGCCTATTTGATTATAGTATCGAAATACGTCCTCTTAACATTCTTGTGCCACTGCCTACGTGGTTCAATTTTTACAAGGAATATTGTTTGAAGACAAAAGTGAAAAGAGGATACTAGTGTGTCATGTTTACATAGACATGTAAGATAGTGTCATGTTTAAATAGACGTAATATACTAAAGTAGACTACAATGTGCAAGGAGGAACTTTATAAATACTGCATTTCATTCTCTTTTAGAATAAACTTCAAACTGGATGTAAAGGGTTCCTGGATTTGGCAGGGTACCTGGATTTGTCAGAGAATATGATAAACATTTCCACATGGTGTTTTTTTGTTTTTTTGAAAATTAATCCTAACTGTGATATAATAATGCAAGATTGTTATTTCTAAAAAAAAATAATAAAATAAAGAGATTCATATATCTTTATTCTGACTTCCAGCTATAACTTTCATATATAGCCTTAGCCCTAATTGCAATTGAAATGCAATTAAAATTTTTTTGTAAGAAATCATTCAAGCATCTTCACATCTGATAAACAAATTTCACATTCCAAAAGTTATCTCCCGTTGTCAGCTTAATCTTTTGCTCATTTTTCTCAGTATGACTATGTCATTTGTAAGTTACCTGTAAATATTTTTTTCCAACTGCAAATGCTATCATACAATTTTGATCTGTACCTGTATTGCTAGAATTAGGCACTACATGAAAAACATAAGAAGATACATGTATTCATACAGATTTGATTGCCTCATGAAACTGGTAATGTTAAAGTTGGAGAATAGTGTTTTATGTATGTTGACCCCTCAAAGAGAAATAAGTTTTGTAAATGTGATAGTCCTCTATCCATGAAGAATTCCTTGAGTTTACTTAGCTTCATGTAATTGACTCCAAATATTTACATTTTTATGCGCCCGAATCGATAGATCCCGGGCGTATATTGTTTTTGTCCTGTCTGTTTGTCTTTCTGTCTGTTGTCAACTTTAACCTTCGCCATAACTTTTGAACCATAAGAGATAGAGACTTCATATTTGGTATGCATACTCCACTAATAAAAGTCCTTTCAAACGTCGACAAGGTCAATGATCTTGTGACCTTGACTGTGACCTATATGCTAAAAATAGTTTTTTATACCTTTTGCCATAACTTTTGAACAATGGGTGATAGGGACTTCATATTTGGTGTGCATACTCCACCCATTAAGTTCTTTCGAATGACACCAAGGTCAATGACCTTGTGACCTTGACTGTGACCTATATGCTAAAAATAGCTTTTTCCACTGTTTGTCATATCTTTTGAACCATAGGAGATAGGGACTTCATATTTTGTACACTTACTCCACTAATAAAGTCCTTTCAATTTAGTTTCAAACATCGACAAGGTCAATGATCTTGTGACCTTGTCTGTGACCTATATGCTAAAAATAGCTTTTTACACTTTTTGCCATAACTTTTGAACAAAAGGAGATGGGGACTTCATATTTGGTGTGCATACTCCACCCATTAATTTCTTTCGAATGACACCAAGGTCAATGACCTTCTGACCTTGACTGTGACCAATATGCTAAAAATAGATTTTTTGAACTTTGTTGCCGCCGGGGCGCATAGTGTTTCACAAACACATCTTGTTAACCATAATTTTCATCTCAATCACTTTTGACCAGAATACATCAAGGTTTGCTACTACTGAGTACCAGTATTTCAAATTCATTTGTGACATATTTCTAGCATATACTGCAATATTTTTATTAGCTCTAGCTTAATGTATTGAGTGCAATCATGCACACACACACGTTCCAAGCCAGTTTCTTTCTTATAAATTATCAAATAGTATCTCTTTAATGAACTCATATTGTTTCAAATATATAAGCCACAGTTAATATTGACTGCCAAGATTTTTATTAACGTTTTTTTTTATTACACTAGTAGTACAGCATTGATGCATCCATCATTTTCTGGATTATTTGTCACCTGAGCATATTTACCTGAAATAAAATTAAAAAATTAATACAAGCTATCATAAAATCCAAATATTTAATATTACCGGTACTTTCTCGAGCTCTAGGAAGCATTTCAAACACAAAAGTAAGAAAATTATATGGAAAAAACTTGCACAGCACTGTAAAGGTTACAATAAGAAATATAGGTAATTTTTTAAGATAAGAAATACACACTTTATTAGGATGGGCGATTCTATTAAGGACTTCATTTTAGCAAGATGACGTCACATTGACAAGTGCATTGCGATCAATGCATCATTTATATACTGTTGTTTGGGATTTAACAAACGACAAAACTGCATGTAATAGTAAGTTTATATGTAGTATACAGCTATCCAGCTGTCTGAAATAACAAATAATTTCATTTTGTAGACCTTATATTATGTATGACGTCATAGTAAACATTTCCCGTACAAATTAGGCCCTGTCTCCTTACTGTAACCGTAACTGTGCTGCATATGTTATATAATTTAAAAATAAAGAATGATGTCTTTCATCAATATACATTAGTACATTTCTCATTCCCATATAAAACACAATAATTTATGTTTTTTTCTAAACACTGGTACAATGACAACAATGTTGTTGCAGTTGATTATCGCAAATCTCGTTTGAAAGTACCGGTATACACTCCGATCGAAATGCTAGATACACAACAGAAATGTCATGATTTAACAGAAAATTGCAGCATAAAAAGCATTACTTACCCCAAATTACTTTACCAGCTTGCGTAACAAGACCCAATTCACTAATATTAACCTGAAATTAGACAACCATTCATGTAAACTTGGAAGGTTTGGATCCAGTCATTTCAGAATTCAACTTATTTAAGTCAATATTCTTTTGTCCTTATTGGTTGATTAAAATGGTATGCTGTTGAAAATTTTCCGGACTACAAAAAAGGCTTAAGATTTTGTCAGCATATATCAGATACAATCGTGCATTTATTTTTACCTCTATGATGGTTCCTTTTGTGATGACTCCTAAGCTTGTGTACATGGTTGATGTGGGATTTTTCTTCACACCGATGATGGGAAGACAAAATGTGGCTTTCAGTTCTGGATGTGTTACATGTGCTTTGTTAAATCGCAGACCCTGAAAAAATGGTTATGCATAACTAACATCAACATGTAACCCTACATGCCTGTGAAAGTTATTGGATTAATCTAAAACTATTATTTTTTCCAATTCAAGATAAGTTTGACACTCTATCTCTTTTTTATTTTTCATTTTTGTGAAATAATTTCAAATATGACAACTCACCATTGGTCGAATAAATCTCTCAAATTTTGGGGGTTTTCTTGTGAACCCCTCCCCCACATAACACACTTTGGTGACCATTCTTTTCCATCCTTTCCCTGTAAATCACAAACAGTCAAGAATAGAATTCTCTGATACATCAAATTTTTAATCAATATACTGTTGATAATCTGTAATAGAATTACTTACGTTTTGTTTTGCCACTCTTAACAACTTTGAACACCTCTGCCTCACTCATGCCCCTTACTTTCGGCAAAGGAACTTCCCATTTACCCTGTAAACAATACAACATAAAGAGCATATAATACAAACTGCTATGAAAAATTACTAATATACAATAAAAAATAATATCTTTCAAAAGACAAGTACCGATAAGTTTTTTTGTGATTTGAAGAAAAATGTGGTTTCCAGTGTGTATAAATCACACCACCTTGATAAATAAGTCACCTTTTTAAGCAGGTTATCTCTTTATTATATGCAGTCTCTATTCAATCATGTTAGAAAGTACTAAAACCCTACGTACTAAGACCCTCTCTGTAAAACACATATTTAGCTTGCAGCTTTTACCTTTTTGTTTCTAAATAATCATATAAGTCAAGACTTTATTTATACTAAGGACTGAGAGCTCTATCTAGCAGGTATTATATAATACTTTTCCATCTTCCCGTGGAAAGATCCCACTGACATTGTTCTGTATAATTACTTACAGCCTTTTCCTTTCTTTTCTGTTTAATCATGTTGGACAAGACTTTAGCTCTACTCTGGCCTTCTCTGTCAAGTAAGTATGCTGGAACGGCTCCCTCTGGTACTTCATCATTATTCTTTTGTTTCGTTTTTCTTTCTTCATGCATCTTTATTCTAATATTTAATGAAAGTAACAGATACAAGTCTTTCTATTCAATATTTTGGACATAATTTATTTTACCATACAAGTTTTTTTCAAGTTGAACTTTCATTGTCAAAAGATGTGCAGAGGGCATATTTTCCATTACCAGATTGAAGTACACGTGTAATAATATCAATTTTAAATGAGGTAGATGCTATTTACAGAAGTCTTTAAACTAAAACAATTTAAAGAAATATGTTAAAATACATGTCATTAACATTAAACTTACGTCTTTTTCATTTGAACCTTCTCTGCATGTCGTTTCTTATTGTACAATTTTGCCCTAGAATAAACAGAATTGGAAGGATATAAATCTATACCACTATTAATAACTTAAAAAATATATAAATGTGAATTTCATTTTCATCTATTCATTTCTATTATTATTTATTTTACATACCTTATTCCCCTTAGCTTTTTGGCTTTTTCTGCCATCTCATGGGCCTTTCTTCCTTCTTTCTTTCTCCTGTAAGAATTCATACATACATGTATTATGTTAGATATAAACTGCTGTTTTGTTTTTTTTTTCATGTTTTCTTTTTTATGTTCAAGTTTTCAACCCCAAATGAAACATGCATACTTTCAACATTCAGTCTGTACCCTGTACAAAAGTGTAACTTACTTTTTCTCATGATAATCAAGTCTGTAGCCATGACGCTTCCTGTGAAGCTCAATATGTTCATTCTGAGGCTGTAATAAAGAATTCAGAAAGTGGATAAGTGCTCATGCAAAATTCATTCCTTACTTGCCTCTTTGTAAATTTCTGTACATCCCTGAAAGAATTTCCCTACTTAAGATTCTTTATCTCCTCACAACAGAGTTGGAAGAGATATACAATGTAGTAACACAAATTGAATGTGTGTTTGTTTGTTGGTGCACTATGTCTTCTGCAAAATGGAAGTAATGTAATTTGAAACCAATTGTACCATTCTTTAACATAAGTGCCGAAGACTGTCAATCATTCCAATGAAAAACTATCTGAAAACACTTTATGTTTACTGACTAAAATATGACAGTCCCAGTAATTGTTATTTATTGAAAGTGTATTTCAAATTAACATTAATTTTTATTATGTATGAAGTGTATGAAATTTTAAAACTATTATTTTATAAATAAGTGGGCAAATTAAAGCAATTGATGATCAGAAGTTAATTCTATTATTTGTTGTTTAAAACAGTAAATATGCTTCATTTTACTTTGATGTGTGATGTATTATGCAATGGAAACCCCCGGTTGGCTCCTTAAAATGAGAATTCAATATGTATATTAATGTTGATTTGGCTA